CCTCCCCAAACCACTCTCGCCTCGCACGCGGAGTCCAAAGCTGAAGATACAACGACAAAGCTGCAAAGCAACTGCAATGCAACAAAAACTGCAGTCAAAACAAACATTGAAATTATGATCATGGTCGTTGGCGCTGTGGGCTTCAAACCCTCCTTGGACCTCCCCAAACCGCTCTGGCCTCGCACGCGGAATCCAACGTTGAAGCTAGAACGGCAAAGCTGCAAAGCAAAGGCAACATGCAATGTAGATAAACTGCAATGCAAAACACCTGTAAGTCTGATCATGGTCGTTGGCGCCGTGAGGTTCAGACCCTCCCAGGACCTCCGCAAACCGCTCTCGCCCCGCACGCGGAATCCACAGCTGAAGCTAGAACGGCAAAGCTGCAATGCAATAAACAAACTGCAATGCAAAATCAACTGCAATTCAAGCAAACTGAACTTCTGATCATGGTCGTTGGCGCCGTGGGCTTCAGGCCCTGCTTGGACCTCCCCGAACCGCTCTCGCCTCGCACGCGGAATCCAAAGTTGAAGCTAGAACGGCAAAGCTGCTGCAAAGCAAAGGCAACATGCAATGCAGAAAAAACTTCAATGCAAAACACCTGTAAGTCTGATCATGGTCGTTGGCGCCGTGAGATTCAGACCCTGCCTGGACCTGCGCATCGCCTCGCACGCGGAATCCAAAGCTGAAGCTCGAACGGCAAAGCTGCAATGCAACAAACACACTGCAATGCAAACCAAACTGACATTTAAACAAACTGTACGTCTGATCATGGCCGTTGGCGCCGTGGGCTTCAAGCCCTTCTTGGACCTCCCCAAACCGCTGTCGCCTCGCACGAGTCTCGCCTTGCCTCGCACGCGGAATCCAAAATTGAAGCTTAAGCTCAAGCTTCAACCTTTCGTTTTGATGCGTGGCGTCCCGCCGTGCGCTACGACTGCCAAGAACTTTATCGAATACCAACTTCTGAGTTTAAGCCACATTGCCGTGCATAGCCTGGGCGCGCTGTGCCTAACAATCGTGCTCATACGTTGTCGTGTTGCCCAATTGATTCCACCATTTCTCGTCTGTGTCCCGTGCACGTGCTCGTTCAGTTTGATTCATGTTGATGTTGATGTACCTTGACGTTATGTGGTCGAACTTGCCCTAAGTGGGAAGGCGTAACCACACCGTCTAGCAGATGCCGACGCTGGAAGTGAGTCCTAAGTCTCGGAGGGCAAGGCACGCGACAGGGCAGCGAAGGCGAGAGAGAGAGAGAGAGAGCGATAGAGAGCGAGAGAGAGGGGGGGAGGAGGAGGAAGGACATAGTCTCAGGCATCGTCGCCTTTCCATTTCCATGTGCTCTCACCCAGCTCTGCAAATTCTAGCAAATGTCGCCAGGTCAGCAGCAACAGCAACAGGATGATGAGGAGCAGCAGGAAGGACACCAACGATGAGGATGAGGATGCCCATGGGGGGAAGGGGGGGATGAGGAGAAGGAGGATACGAAGGAGGAGGAGGAGGACGAAGAGGAGGAAGAGGGGGAGCATCAGCAGCAGCAGGCTGGGATTGAGATGGGGCAACTGGCGATGCGGAAGATGAAGAGGAGGAGGGGAGGAGAAGGAGGAGGAGGGGCAGGAGGATGAGGAGGAGGATGAGGATGATGATGATGCGGAGGAGGAGGATGAAGAGCAGGATAAGGATGAGGCGGAGGAAGAGAAGGCGGAAGCGGAGGAGGAGGAGGTGGAGGAGGAGGAGGAGGAAGGGAGGAGGAGGAAGGAGGAGGAGAGGAACTGATGAAAGCAGGAGGAGAGGAGGAGGAAGGAGTATGATGAGGAGGAGTGATGGGGATGAGCGAGCGGAGGACAAGGAGAAGGACCCAGCAGGAGGAGGAGAGGAGGAGAAAAGAGGAGGAGGAGGAAGGAGGAGGAGGGGAGAGGAGGAGGAGGGGCAGACAAGGATGAGAATCACCAGATTAACGACAGCGATGAGGAATTGCAATATGCCGAGGAGGAGGAGAGGTCGAGGCTGATCGATTGGTGATGATGAAGAGGATGAGGAGGAGAGGAGGAGGAGGAGGAAGAAGAAGAGGAGAATGAGATGAGGAGGATGGAGGAAGGAAGAGAAGGAGGAGGGAGAGGAGGACCAAGGAGGAGGAGATGCGTAGGCGGAGCATCAGGATGTCGTAGGATCGGGAAGGAACCCAGCGATGAAGAGAGGATGCCGATGGGGAGAGGAGGAGGAGAGGATTGGAGGAGGAGGGGGAGAAGGAGGAGGACGACGAAGAGGAGGATGATGAGGAGGAGCAGGAGGAAAGGAGGAGGAGGAGGCACAGGAATAGGAGCATGAAGATGAGGAAGAGGGGGAGGATGAGGAGGAGGAAGATGAGGTGGAGTATGGAAATGTTGATGAGAGGAGGAAAAGGGGGAAGAGGAGGAGGAGAGATAGGAGGCGGAGGAGGAGGAGGAAGAAGCGGAGGCAGGTTGGACCGCCTGGGAGGAGGAGGAGGAGGAGGAGGAGGAGGAGGAGGAGGAGGAGGAGTAGGAGGAGGAGGAGGAGGAGGAGGAGGAGGGGGAGAACGAGAAGGACGAGGAGGAGGAGGAGCAGCAGCAGCAGCAAGAGGCGCAGCGAGAGGGAAACCAGCGATGAGGATCAGGATGCCGAGGAGGAGGAGCCGCAGCAGCAGGAGGAGCGGGAACAGCAGGAACATACCACAGCGATGAGGATGGGGATGTCGACGAAGGGAATGGTGTTGGTGATGATGAAGATGATGATGGCGATGCTGATGATGCTGATGCTGATGGTGCTGATGATGCTGATGCTGATGCTTCTGAAGATGACGATGGCGATGGCGATGATGACGATGCTGGTGATGCTGACGATGATCATCTTGATGTCATGATGATGTTAATGCTGCTGATGCTGACTATGCTGATGATAAGGATGATTAAGCTGATGGCGATGCTGATGATCACGATGATGCTGCTGATGATGATTATGCTGTTGATGATGATGCTGATGATGCTGCTGATGCTGATCTTGATGATGATGATGATGATGACGATGCTGATGATGATGATGATTATGGTGATGCTGATGCTGATCCTGTTGATAATGATGCTGCTGACGATGATGCTGGCGACGGAAATTGCGACGGGGGTGATGATGATGATGATGATGATGATGATGATGATGATGATGATGATGATGATGATGATGGTAATGATGATGATGATGATGATGATGATGATGATGATGATGATGATGATGATGATGATGATGATTATTATATATTATTATTATTAATAATATGATGATTATGTTTAAATGACGATGCTGATTAAGATAATTATGCTGATGATGATGCAGCTGCGGCTTCTGCTGATGATGATGGTACTGATTATGATGATGATGATGATGATGATGATGATGACGATGATGAGAGGATGATGATGCTGATGATGCTGATGATGCTGATGACGATGATGATGTGATGATGATGATGATGAAGATGAATAATGATGATGATGGTGATTATGATGATGATGCTGATGATGATGATGCTGATGCTGATGATGAGGAGGAGGAGGAGGGGGAGGGGGAGGAGAAGGAAGAGGAGGAGGAGGTGCAACAGCAGCAGCAGCAGGAACCACAGAAGGAGAAGCAGCAGGAGGAAAACCAGCGATGAGGATCAGGATGCCGAGGAGGAGGAAGAGGAGGAGGAGGAGGAGCAGCGTCAGCAGCAGGAAGAGGAGGAGGGAGAACAGCGGTGAGAATGATGATGCCGAGGAGGAGGAGGAGGAGGAGGAGGATGAGGAGGAGGAGGGGGAGGAGGAGGAGGAGCAGGAGGAGCAGGAGGAGGATAAGGAGAATCAGGACAAGAAAAACGAGGAGGAGGAGGAGGAGGAGGAGGAGGAGCAGCAGCAGCAGCAGAAGGAGGAGGAGGACAACGACGGCGAGGTGGAGGGCTGCGGGGACAGCAAGCGACCACAACCACATCGAGGATACACTCTGGGGGATATCTTGCGCATGCCAAAGATTGTCGGAACACCGGGACCAGCTTCGTACTGGGTTTGGTCGTGGCGGCGTCCCAGGACGGCCAGATCGGCCACAACCACAACTAAAGTGCTCATGTCGAGGTCTGTGGGTTCTCCCCCGAGGGGCCCTCTTTGGTGTGCCCGGAGTGGCGGGGGCTCCAGAGATGGAGGAGGGGGGTGATAATACGACGAAAGCAGGATGGAGAAAACTTCGTATGAGGACGAGCAGAGGATCTCTGAGAGCCCGCGGGTCTGGATCGGAGGTTGCTAAGAAGGTGCCCCTGGCCCACGGTGCACCCAGCTTGTCGCTCCATTCTGGATCTCCTCGGCCCCCTGGGCCTCGTGAGGGGTGCTCCCGAGGCCGTGGGGGCCTCCTGGGAAAGCCTGGGGGAACCTCGGGCCAGGGGCACTTCTGGCCACACCCCGGTCGGAGGGTGCATCGGGCGCCGCGGCCGGAACAAAGAGCGCCCCGCGACTCTCCGAGAGCGCTCCGGGGAACGCCCTGGAGCGGCGCAGCCTCATCCTGGGCCTGCCTGCCAGAGACGCGGAGGGAGGCATGCGTGACAGTCAACCAGTACCGTGAGGATGCGCGATGAGGATGCAAGGGCCTTGGACGCCCATTTCGAAGTTTTCCGAGCGGGGCGCGGCCGACGAAAGTGGCGAAGGATGGACCGAGGAGGCAAGGATGCAAGGGTACCCTTGGGAAGGTTGCCCATCCTTACTATGCGGGTTGACTGTAGGTCAGGCATGTCCCCCTACAGGTGGATTTTGGACGAAATATCAAACATATTCAAACAAATACGCAAATATAGCCAACAAATAATCGAAAAATCGTCCCCATGCTATTTTTTCACTATTTTTGAATTTTCCTCCTGTAGAGGGGCATGCCCGACTTGAGGCATGCGGGCTGTGTGTTTGTTCCCTCCTGAAGGTGTGCCGGGCCCGGCGATGCAGCGGGCAGCTCGCGGCCGGCAAGCGCACGGCGGAGGCCTTGACGGCCGTGACGAGCTCGGGCTCGAGGCCGGGGGGCGCCGCCTTGCTGGGGGCGACGTCGAAGCCAGGGGGCGCCGCCTTGAACTCGGCCTCTCCGGGAGGAGAGGCGAGGGGCAGGACGATAACCCCTAAAGTTGGGTCGGGCATGTCCCCCTACAGGCGGATTTTGGACGACAAATAACAAATACCCAAAACATGTGCAAAGCATGCCCCCAAATATTAGAAATATAATCCCCACACTGTTTTTGACTATTTGTAAATATTCCTCCTGTAGAGGGACGTGCCCGACTTAACTCTAAAGGTCTTTAGACCCCCCCGTAATGGAAACTACTTATCTTTTCGACGCCCTTAGTTTGTTGACGGACTGGGGCCCATCAATCATGGAAACTATGCATTTCTCCGCGGCACCCGCCGCGTAACAACGCGGAGGAGGAGGAGGAAGAGGAGGAGGAGGAAAGGGAGGAGGAACAAGAGCAGGAGCAGAAGGAGGGGCGGATGTATTCTCCGCTGGGAAAAACAGGAGGGGGGTGCAAAACAAAAGAAACCGTGAGGTCTGGGCGTTGCACTTCCGCACAGAATGTTGTCGCCCGGCAACGGGCCCCAGGAGCATGACAAATACCGCAGAAAGATGTTTTTCTTTGGGCTCTGGTCGTGATTCTTCGCGATGAAGCATTTTTGGGGCAACGTCGGATCCCAAGGGCGGCGCAGAATGGTATGATGGATGGACACTATATATATATATATGCGAAACCAAGCCACAACGCTGGAAATACGCCGTTCAATGAGCTGGGCCACGGCCCAGGCAGCAACGACCGCCGACTGAAACATCTGTAAGCGTGGTTCGCGTTTATTGTTTTGCATGTTCAACACCCATCGTTCAATGGAAAAGTTATATGCTTTGAGCGTAGAAGACGAGAACAAACAATAGCAGACATCTTGGCGACCGGGTAGATCAAGACGGTCAGCGCCATGTGATAAAATTGCCTCCTGCAGGCGACGCTGAACAGATAGTGCCTGAGACGGGCGAGGGAACATGGGCGGTGGGCAGGCATAACAAACACTGCGAAGGTAGAGTTCACACATCGGGAGACACGCGAACAAGCGATCGGAGAAAGTAAATCGCACCGGGATGGGGTCATCACAGTGGCAATCTAAACGGTCGCAGCCAGTCAGTGCTTCCCAACATTCCGTTGGAAGGCGTTGCAAGTATGATGGTTTTCGTCAGCCCACTAGAAAAGAATGAACAAGGGAACCATCTTGACTCTTGAAAAAGGAAAGGCGCCGAAAATAGACTGGAATCTGGGGATCCCAAGACACCTATTGTCAATTATCGACTGGTACAGACAACCACTAGACAGTTCGCCCACCCCTCGACCAGCCCCACACCGGCAAACACACGGGCGCAGCACCGCGCTGGATGCGTGGCCCTCGGTTGGGTCAAGTCGACGAGGATCGAGAATCTGCAAACTCGCGGCGCCCGGATGCGCCCGGGTATGTGCACCGAACACGCCGCGGGGCCGAGACCTACGACTCCTCCAAGCACTGCCGCTCTGTCCTCACCCTTTTCCCCTGCGTTGTACAGCCCGTTGGCACCAGCGAACTCCACGTCGAGTTCGGCTCGAGCCGCTCGGCTGCTGCGCGCCACAGCGCGTGCGCCGCGGGCCTCGGCCGTGGCCCGATCGGGGAGGCCTGACGGCGCCAGCCCCCGATCCGAAGTCCGCCTGCATCCCGCCAGGAGCCAGCGGCCTCAGGCCCTCCGACGGCGGCGGGGCGAGAGCAAGCAGGAAGGAAAGAGGAGGAGGAGGAGGAGAAGGAGGAGAAGGAGAAGGAGGAGAAGGAGGAGGAGGAGAAGGAGGAGGGAGAGGAGGAGGAGGAGGAGGAGGAGGAGGAGGAGGAGAAGGACCAGTGACCTGTGTAAACCAAAGATGCGTCGACGATGTTGCACTAGCCCCTCCCTCCAAATGCCCCCGTAATGCGCCCCTGCAAAATCTTCAATGCCGCGAGTCAATGATACTGCTGCGCCCTAGCCCTCCTAAACCGTGCCAGAACGCCATTTCCAGGACTTCAACATTCCGAATCAACGTGACGGCTGCGTCCTGACAACCGTAAACCGTGCCAGACAGCAGATCCTGGGGCTTCAACCACACGATTCCTTGAAAGAGCCGCAAGCAGTTCGAGCGAATGTGCACGGCGCTAAAGCGAGAGCCACATGTTGAAAATCAGCCGCCCTCCATCCTCGAAGCTGCTGCGAACGTTCAAAACGCATGCGCGCGTTTCTAAGGCGACGGCCACATTTCAAAAACCACCCGCCCTCCATCCTTCAAACTTTTGCATCTCCCAAGCTTCAGGAGCCTAAATGGTGAGGAGGTCTTAAGCGAAACGCCCGGCCCGCCCCCCATCGTTCCCCCCCGACACGTCTGGGGGTACGACTGGGAGGAGTTATTGTTCAAAGGAGCAGGGATGGAAAGAATGAGGATGAGGATGAGGGTGAGGACGAGGAGGAGGAGGCGGACGAGGAGGAGAAGGAGGACCAGTGGAAACCCAAGAGTCATCAAAGATGTTGGAACTAACCCTCCCTCCAAGCTCCCTCTTCATAGGCTCCTAGAGGTTCATTTCCATTAAGGGAACTGCCTCGCTGGAAGACAACCGTTTGAAGATCCTGAAGCGTGCCAAAACATTGTTCTCGAGATTTCAACGCCACGTATCAACCTGACTGCTGCGTCTTGACGATCCATAACCGTGCCTGAACGCAATTTGGGGGACTTCAACACAGCGAAGCAACATGATGCTGCGCCCGCATAATCCTGACTCCTTCCAACACACAATTTCTGGTATGTTGATCATGGGAACCCGTGAAGCTCTTGCAAGTTTGAAATACGAATGCGCGCGGCGCTAAGGCGAGAGCCACATTTTGAAAACCACCCGCCCTTAATCCGTGGAGCTCTTGCACATGTTTAAAACGAATGTGCGCGGCGCTAGGGCGATAGCCACATTTCGAAAACCACCCGACCTCAATGCGTGAAGCTCTGGCAAATGTTTAAAAACGAATGTGCGCGGCGCTAAAGCGAGAGCCACATGTTGAAAACCATCCGCCCTCAATCCGTGAAGCTCTTGCAAATGTTTGAAACAAACGGATGTGCGCGGCGCTAAAGCGAGAGCCACATTTAGAAAACCATCCGCCCTCAATCCGTGAAGCTCGTGCAACTTTTTAAACATAAAAAACGAATGTACGCGTTTCTAATGCGAGAACCACATGTTGAAAACCATCCGCCTACAATCCGTGAAGCTCTTGCGAATGTTTGAAACAAGCGAATTTGCGCGGCGCAAAAGCGAGAGCCACATTTTGAAAACCACCTGCCCTCAATCCGTGGAGCTCTTGCATTTTAATTAACGAATGTGCGCGGCGCTAAGGCGAGAGCCACATTTTGAAAACCACCCGCCCTCCATCTGTGAAGCTGTTGTCACTATTTTGAGCTTCAGAATCATAAGTGGTGCGGAAGTCTCAGGCGAAACGCCTGGCATGCCCTAAAAACTGACCTCGGTGCAACAGGGAGGAGTTATCTATAAGGAGAAGGAATGGAGGAGGACGGAGGAGCGCCCGTGGCTCAAGAGGAGGACGGAGGAGGAGGATGAGGAGGACGGAGGAGGAGGAGGAGGAGGAGGAAGGAAGAAGGAAGAAGGAAGATGGTGAGGCTTCGAACTACGCACACAGGTAGTCCTGGCTGGCCTCAGCAGGCCCCCCGAATGGTCCCAGCTGGCCTCAACAGGCCCCCCGATTAGCCCAAGGCGGTCTCAACACACAAGCCGGGACTACCTGGGGGGGCCGTCTGTGCGCCACACGATGCCTCAGCAAGGGAGGACGGAAGAGGGAAGGAGGAGAGAGGACGGAGGAATGAAGCAAGAGAGCTTATCCTCCTCCTCCTCCTCCTCCTGCTCCTCCTCCTCCTGCTCCTCCTCCTCCTCCACCTCCTCCTCCTTCTGCTCCTGCTCTTACTCCTCCTCATCCTGCTGCTGCTGATGCTGTCGGGCGTGCGCGCGGCGCGATAGGGTCGCCACGTAGCGCTGTTGGGCCAATGGGATGGCGTCCTCTCTCTCGAAGGTTTGGTTTTCTGGCATTTTGGTTGGTGAGGAGCCCTGTGCCGCTGGGCGCTGCAGGGTCTTCCCCTCAACTTTCATTGCTGGAAGGCTCAGCCTTGTCCGCTCGAAGCGTCCAATCCTCCTCCTCCCCTGCTCCTCCTCCTCCTTCCCCTCCCTCTTCTCCTCCTCCTCCTCCTGCTGCTGCTGCTGCTCCTCCTCCTCCTCATCATGTTTACGTTGGGGCAAGCATTAAGGCTAAGCTTGTTATGCTTCTCCTCCTCCTCCTCCTCCTCCGCCTCCTCCTCCTCCTCCTCCTCCTCCTCCTCCTCCTCCTCCTCCTCCTCCTCCTCCCCCTCCTCCTTCTATTCCCCCGCCCCCTTCTCGAGGGCCGCGGGCCCTCCCCCCTGGACGCCAAGACCCTCCCCCCGGGCCTGCGCCGCAGGGATCGCCCGCCTGCAGGAGCACGGGTCCGGCGCCTGCGCGGCCGCCGCGCGTCGTCGTCGTCGTCGTCGTCGTCGTCGTCGTCGTCGTCGTCGTCGTCGTCGTCGTCGTCGTCGTCGTCGTCGTCGTTGTCGGCGTCGGCGTCGGCGTCGTCGCCGGCGTCGGCATCGGCGTCGGCGTGTCGGCGTGTCGGCGTCGGCGTCGGCGTAGGCGTCGGCGTCGTCGTCGTCGTCGGCAAAGTGGGTCGTCGACGGAGGAGGTTCAAGGGCTTCTTTCCACCGAGATCCACCGCCGTGCCCCCGCACGTTAAGGCGTTAGTAAAATGCCGAGTGCTGCCTGGTAGGGTTTCTGTAATCTTCAAGGACCCCCCTCTCTCGTAGCACAATTTGCGTGCATCGCCCTCCCTCTTGAGGCCATGATCCCTCGTACAAGAACGACGGATCGAGCGCTCAAGACGGCCGAGGCAAGCAACCAAGGCCGCCATGATGGCCCAAGATGCCTCCAAAGAGGCCCAAGACGGCCCCAAGGCGGCCCAAGAGGCCCCCAAGACGGCCCAAGAGGGCCCCAGTAGGGCCCCCAGAATGGCACCCGAATCATTGATTTTCTGTTGGTTTCCCAGCAAGCTTTGGACATCTTCGCCTTTTCGGACTTCCTGCAGCTCCAACCTCCGAGCTGACCTCAGACGAGCCAAGGTGGCCTCCAAATTGTCAAATATTCCTGCGATGCAGGCAACGCAGCCTCAAACCATTCTCACAAGGACTCATAACGGCCCAGGAAGCCCTCCAAAGAACCTCAAGCTGGCCCAAGACAACCTCCGGAGGGACCCAGTACGGACTCAGAGGGCCTCTCGACCTCCCAAGACGGTCACAAGAAGGCCCCACGATGGCCCGAAGAGACCCCCTACACGGCAAATGTGGTCCCAATATGGCCCCAAAGACCCAAAAAACAGACAGCCCCAGGACGGCCCAAATGAGCTCCGTGAGTCCATGAGAGTTCCTCCTTCTCCTCCTCCTCCTCTTCCTCCTCCTCCTCCTCCTCCTTGTGCTCCTCCTCCTGCTCCTCCTCCTCCTCCTCCGCCTCCTCCTCCTCCTCCTCCTACTCCTCCTACTCCTCCTCCTCCCTCTCCTCCTCCTCCTCCTCCTCCTCCTCCTCCTCCTCCCCTCTTCCTCCCCCCTCCCTCCATCTCCTCCTCCTCCTCCTCCTCCTCCTCCTCCCTCCTCTTCCGCACCCTCCTCCTCCATCCTTCTTCCTTATAAATTCGCCGGCCCAACTGGCCAAGGGCGTGCTAAAATCTCTGGTAACTGGTTAACAATCTTTCTACTTCGCGCGCGCGGGGCCGCGCCTAGGGCCCCCCCCGGCAAAAAGTACCCCGGCAAGGTCCCGGCCAGGCGCTCCCAAGAGCGCTCCAGGAGCGCTTCAAGTGGCCTCCAAGAAAGCTCAACATGGTCCGAGACGGTCCAAGAGCTATCCAAGACGCCAAAGATAGCCTCCAGACACAACCCAAAGCGCCTTCAAAACGCCTCAAGAGGCCTCCGAGAGACCTCCACAGAGGCAGAAAATGGTGACTTTCTTTAAGTGTTTGCAGATTTTTGGCGTTCTCGCCTTTTCGGCTTACCGGCGCTCCAAGACGGCCCAAGCGGCTTCCAGGATTGCCCCAACACGGCCCACGAGGCCTCCAAGAGCGTCCAAAACGGCCCCAGATGGCCCCAATACAACCCCAGAGGCTTCAAAGATAGCCGAAGAGGCTCCCAAGACGGATCTAAGAGCGGGCCCAGACGAGGGACCCGAACGGACATTTCGAGCTCTAGGCGCAGAGAGGTCACCTGGAGGCCCCCTGGAGGCCCCCAAGAAGCCCCCAAGAGGCACCCGAAAGGCCCCAAGAGACCCCCAAGAGGCCTCCAAGAGGCCCCCATAACGCCCCAAGAGGTCCCAGAAATACCGCCAGGAGGCCCAAAATGAGGCTCCAAGAGGCCTGCAAACGGCCTCCAAGAGGACACGAACGCGCAAGCAAACGCCTGCGATGGCACAACACGGGCCGGCGGAGTGAGCGAAACGATTCAGCAAGAGGCACGCGTGCCAAGGATCATACAATCAGGAATGTCGGACACTGGGAGATGGAGGTGGCGCCAGCCTGTGGCAGTTTCGGGGAAGCGCGCGAGTGCTGCGACACGCTGAGTTATGGCGTGAAGAACTTGTTATGTCACTGTGA